ATAATCGCCGATCACATGGCTTTATCACAGTCTCAAACCTTCAGACCTCTCTCCTCCGCAGAGGCTTTAGTTTTCTTAGGATTTAATATTACGATAAGATACATTTCACTACACTTTACATGGCGGATCATGGAACACGAGCGTAGTTCAGACAAACATATCCACATTCCTCTCCCCCCCTTCGGACATCCTATTAAGACATTTTTCCTCTCCCCCCCCCTTCGGACATCCTAAGACATTTTTCCTCCCTCCCCCTTCGGACAGCAAAAATTTCCTCCGTGGCGGGGGTATGGATCTTTTCTGGAACGACCCAATGAAATGAAGAATTTAATGTTATAATACATATTTAGTACAAGTTCCATCTTCGGGGAGTTGCGTCGGTAAATCTTTCAACGAGTCCTTCGATGTCGAGGCCCCGACAAATGTCAGATTCCACGGACATGAGCATCAGCGATTCTAGTCGATCTTGCCTCATCGTCGACCTCAGGCGATTTTTTATTATTTTCAGCTTGGAAAATGATCTCTCAGCAGATGCTGATGTCAAAGGGAGAGTAAGGGCAATCTTAATAATTTTTGACAAATTGGGGAAGCATTCGGGTTCTTGAAGAAGTTCGCGGTATAAATCAACCAAAGACGGCTTTCGTTCTTTCGTTTCCTTGGCCATTACACGCAACCGTACACTTGACAACCAAATATTTACACACCGCACCCCCCCCCCCCTACGACATCGGATTTGGACAAATCCAAAAACCCACTCTGGAGAATATTGGGGGGGCGGCTGCCCCCCCTCGCCCCCCCTTGCCAGCGCCACTGGCCCTGTTTACATGAGACCGGAACAAAGTCAAACCGGGATCATTTAATTTCGGTCAGAGTATAATTTATAACAGATGTTTACATGAGACCGGGACGAAAATAACTCAGACTGGTCTCAAGTCATTCCGCCTGCTGGACCGAGCCGACTGACTTCAGACTGGCATGACTTCAGACCGGCATGAATTCAGACCGGGATGAATGTAAACACAAATACATTTCAGACCGGTCTCGGCTGTAACCTTGACATTGGAACAACACATGCTATTAAAACAAAAGCCATCTGAAAAAGAAAATTTCCTGTCAAGGGGAATAAATTGAAAATTTTGTGATTTTCGTCCCGGTCTCATGTAAACATGTTGACAATTTCAATTTTCATTCCGGTTTGACTTCGTCCCGGTCTCATGTAAACGGGGCCTTACAAACGTTTATATATAAATGAATGATCAAAATTAATGAGCAATACACTCTGCCTCTGCACTATAAAAACAATATACACTCTGCAACTGAAAGTTTAAAATTCAACTGCAATATAAAAGTAAAATTCACTATACAGAAAGCTAATCATTAATATTGTCTTCCAGTTTAACAGAATAACAAATAAAAACAAGTACTAAAAGTACAAATATATTTATTACATATCTTTAGAACTATTAAATACATGTACTGACTACTTACTGTACATATATACATTTTGTAAAAAGGCTTATTAAGATGGATAATTGAAAGTTTGAAACCTTCTGGTCGATCAAGGTTAAACACAAATGATAAATGAACTACTTACTTCCCTTTAAAAGTTTGCTTGATCATAATCCGCCTCCGTAATTGGAAAGCAAACTAGAAATTGTGTTGTCATACCACTGTGGCGATAAAATATTATTCCCGCATGGACAACTTTGAACGAACAAAACTGACGATATTTTAGAGCGATCTGGATAATTTTCGTTTTAAAAGCATTAATATAACATCTTGTACCCACGGTGTAGCGATCAGCTTGGTAAAACTTCGCAAAGTATCTCAAATTCGGCAAAATTCAGCTTGGTTCACGTTGTTCGCCATACATTTCTATAGTAATTTGTATCGCTCCGTGGTCCCCGGAAGTGATTTTCGCATATATAATTTGGCTTCACTTTTCACACCTAGAGAAGCTATATCCAGTCTACTATTAGATCAGTGGTTACAAGTTACTTCAAGTAAGAAAAAACCCAGTTTTTTTCAACTTAATGATTAGTGGTCGGCAGATTGACGTTAATTATTTGTTAACGTTATGTATAAACCTTACCATGCACTAATGGATCTCTCAGCTGTGTTAAGCATTGAAGCATGCGTTGTCGTAGAAAACCGTGAGGAGAATTTCGAGAACTGAGAGGTGAATTGTAAGTTTTAACCGCAAGAATGTAACGAAAAAAGTAACGTAAACGTTGGCTATAAAAGTAACGCGTTATCGTTTCGTTTTAGGCCAAAATGTAACTCGTTACAGTTACAGTTACCTTATTTTTAAAGGTAACTAGTTACCGTTACAGTTACTCAAAAAGTAACGATTACTTGTAATTTCGCACTTGTAACGAAGTTACTTACAGCACTGCCAAGCAGTTGGGAATAACTGGAACTCCAACAACATTTACTCTGACAACGATTAACGAAGGAACGAAAAGAAATCGAGGAGAAGAAATACGTTTAATAGTTTCAAATCTGAACGGAGATGAAAGTATAGATATCTCACGTGCTTGGACAGTAAATAAGTTACCAGTATCCAAAAGGTGTATTCCCACAACCCAAGACGTGTCCCGTTGGAGTCACCTTGATGGAATAGAATTTCCTGAGTTAAAGAATCAGAATGTGACGTGGATAATCGGGCATTAGATCAACGTCGTGGCCGAAGAAAGGAGCCTTATGCAGTTAGAACTTTGCTGGGTTGGACTCTACTTGGACCAGTTGAAATCGAAACGAGACGAGAGTTTGATGTTATATGTAAACAACGAGTTTGAGTGTTTCATCAGGGGATCCAAACACGAGAAAACTGTATGAAACACGAGCGCGAAGCGCGAGTGTTTTATTGTTTTCGAGTGTTTGGTCCCCTGATGAAACACGAGAAACGAGTTGTTTACACAACATCTCAAACGAAAACATTTCATTGGCTTATATATATTATTATAGTATATTGTTGTGTTTTGACTTGAATTTGTAATTAGGATCTCAGTTATTAGATGAAAACCGTTTTTCATCTAACAACAGTGATGGTATATGATTTTTAGCGTGTTTCCTGCGGTATCCAACCTCAATCATGTGACGAATTAGGGTGAGTTCATTCGCTAATTTGCTCATGAATTATTAATGAGTTTGAGATGTGCATTTCATCAATCGTGGAGATACTGACCTGCAAAAACAAATTGAACGAATGTTCCAAATGGATTTTAATGAGACGCATGCAACTTCGGCAACGGAAATGTCTGTAGAAGACCGGAAGGCTTTATCAATCATGGAAAATTCGGCAAAATTGGTGGACGGTCATTATCAAATTGCTTTACCATGGCGAGATAGTACTCCCAGTTTACCAAACAATAAACAGATGGTGGAGAAAAGATTAATCTCCTTACAATGGCGTTTAAAAAGGAATCCTGTTTTGCGTAAACAATACCGAACGGTTATTAAAGATTACTTAGAAAAGGGATACGCCTCGAAAGTAGCTGATGAAACCACAAACCAACAGCCAAGCACAGGTCAAATTACTACAGCAGAAAGAAGATGGTATCTTCCCCACCATCCAGTAATAAATCCTCAAAAACCAGGAAAGGTCAGAGTTGTTTTTGATTGTGCGGCGAAGTACAGAAACACGAGCTTGAATGGTCAGCTTCTGCAAGATCCAGACCTAACGAACAAATTAATAGGAGTATTGCTCCGTTTCCGCCAAGAACGTATTGCTCTTACATCAGACGTGGAAGCTATGTTTCATCAACTTAGAGTAGATCCAAAGGATTGTAACGCCTTAAGATTTCTGTGGTGGCCAGACGCTGATTTTACGAAACCTCCGGAAGAATATCAAATGCAAGTACATTTATTTGGAGCCACATCTTCCCCAAGCTGTTCGAGTTACGCTTTAAAGAAAACAGCCCACGATCATGAAACTGAATTTGACGAAGAAACAATAAAAACAGTGGATAAGAATTTCTATGTAGACGATTGTCTAAAGTCAGTTTCTACAACCAACAAGGCAGTAAATCTTGCAAACCAGTTGACACGCTCTTAGCAAAAGGAGGGTTCCATCTAACAAAGTGGATGAGTAACAGCCGTGACGTATTAGCCACAATACCACAAGAAGAGAGAGCACCATCAATGGTAGATATCGATTTTGAATCGCTGCCAGTTGAACGAGCGTTGGGAGTTTTATGGGATGTCGAAGCCGATGCATTTCGTTTTCGTATTTCAGAAATGAAGTTCATTAATACAAGAAGAGGGATATTGTCTCTGGTTAGTTCGATGTATGATCCTTTCGGATTTGCATCACCAATTGTGCTGCCAGCGAAGCAAGTTCTTCAATGTCTCTGCCAAACCAAGTATGAATGGGATGAGATCCTACCAGAAATGAGTTGAAATCGTGGCGCAGTTGCCAAGAATCTTTGACGCAGTTAGAAAACGTCGCCATTCCAAGATGCTTCAAACAAGATTTGCCAGACAATATTTGTTGTGCTGAACTTCACAATTTTTCGGACGCGCCTAGAGATGGTTACGGTGCTGTGTCTTATTTGCGACAAGTGAATGAAGAAGGGAAAGTGAATGTTTCACTTCTTGTTGGGAAATCACGAGTAACCCCAATGAAGCCTGTAACAATTCCGCGGTTAGAACTTACTGCAGCTGTGCTAGCTGTTAAACTTAATTGCCAAGTCCAGAAAGAAATTGAAATTCCTATTCAACGTGTAATGTTTTGGACAGATTCAATGGTGGTATTGCAATACATCAATAATGAGTCGAAAAGATTTTAAACCTTTGTTGCAAACAGGTTGGCGGTGATTCATGACCTGTCCAAGCCCTCGATGTGGAGATACGTCGATACAAAATCCAATCCAGCCGATTACGCCTCTCGAGGATTGAAACCCAATGAGGAAATAAAGATTAACGAATGGCTAAATGGTCCGAAATTCCTATGGGAAACGGAGGATAAATGGCCAATTCCACCAGCAGGTCTAAAAGAAATGCCTGATGAGCATTTGGAGTGGAGGAAAACTGCTCGAGTCAATAGAATCGCGACTTCAGAAGAGAACATCGTATTAGATAAGTTGTTGGAATACTACTCATCTTGGTATTCTTTGCAAAAGGGAGTCGCATGGTTGCGACGGTTTGTCCTGTTTTGTTGTACGAAGTTTAAAGAATCAACAAGCGGACCAGAAGAAAACATCAAAGGATATCTGACTGTAAAAGAAATACAAGATGCAACTGAAAAGATCGTGCAATTGGTACAGCGCAAGTATTATCATGAAGAGATTGAAACATTGAAACCAAACGAGTCAGAAAGCTATGAACCGCGCAAGAACAATGCTAAAAGCCTATTGAAGAGGAGTACCTTGAGGAAATTGAACCCAATATTGGTAAATGGAACTTTGCGAGTTGGAGGACGACTGGGAAGGTCATTATTACCCTTTAATGAAAAACACCCTATTATTATGCCTCAACGACACAATGTTACTAAGTTGATTATTCAACATTACCATCAACGCGAAGGTCATATGGGATCAAGACAAGTGCTAGCAGCCATTCGAAAGTCATTCTGGATCATTCATGGGCCCAGTGAAGTACGAAAGCAAATAAAAGGTTGCATGGATTGTAAAAAACGATTTTCCAAGCCAGGTGAGCAAATAATGGCTAATCGTCCAGATGTACGAGTTACTCCAACTAATCCGCCGTTCACATTTGTTGGTGTGGACTATTTTGGCCCAATCATGGTGCGACAGGGTCGAAGCCAAGTGAAACGGTATGGTTGTCTATTCACATGTCTAACTATGAGAGCAGTACATATCGAAATTGCCCACTCTTTGGACGCTGAGTCGTTTCTGTGTGCGTTCAGTAGATTTATAAACAGACGAGGTCAACCGAGTCATGTCTACAACGACAATGGGACACATTTTACGGCGACCTACTCTACGTTAAAGGACGAATTCAAGAAACTTCAAGATAAAGCTTCTCAAATGCGAATTCAAGATCAGCTTCGAAAATCCTACATTCAATGGCACTTCAACCCCCCTGCTGCAAGCCATATGGGCGGAATTTGGGAGAGGGTAATTAGATCGATTCGTAGAATTCTAAAGGCATTGTTACAAGAGCAAGTTGTTAATGATGAAGCACTTTTAACATTTATGGTGGAAACTGAACGGATCCTGAACGATCGTCCACTTATTTGCCAAGAAAACCATCCAGATCGATGACCTGGATCCTCGCACACCTAACAAGCTACTTTTACTTCGTTCAGACCATCCTCTTCCTTTAGGAGTTGTTATAAATGTTGACAAGTACAACCGGCGTTGGAGACAAGCGCAAGAATTGGCCAACGCGTTTTGGAAAAGATGGCTGAGAGATTATCTCCCTCTTCTGCAAGAAAGGCAGAAATGGACAGCAGAGAAACGTAATCTGCAGGTTAATGATTTAGTTTTAGTGGTAGACGAGAGAGTAACACGTGGACAATGGCCGATGGGACTGGTAGAGGAAATCTATCCAGATAAGTATGGCGTTGTGAGACAGGTGTTGGTTCGTGCTTCAAATGGAAAATTAAGGAGAGATACAAGGAAACTGTGTTCGCTCAAAGGAGCTTGCTGATAAGAAGCTATAAGATAATTTAAATATTTAGTATAATAGGTAATATCAAGCTTCATGAATAACCTTGATAGGGGCTGGTGTGTAGGGACCAATTGCCCGAATTGATTGGTTGGTTGTGGAGCATTTGCATAACATTGTTTGGGTCGGAATGTGATTATGTGGGCTCAATTGTATAAGATATATGCGCTGAATTCGGCGAAGTGAACAGTTTAAGACTAAGTTTTGAAGCCTGATAAACGATCAAATATATTTAAAGTAATTCATTATTGACATGGATAAGGACAAAGGACTAACATCGCTGTAAATTAATATTCGTCAACGTGAGGTATGCATGTGTGAACTAGTTGTTTAAGTTTATATGTAGGTTTGTCAAATTGTTACATAGTGTATGTCCTTAAATTTATTTAGAAAACCAGCACGGTTAATAAAAGGTTCAAACAATAAAAGGCTGCGTTATTTTTCATGTTAGCACTAAGCGGATATTATAGGTGCATTGCCAATTCCGTCAGAAAAACTAAACACCATCCCAGACATAACCATAGCTGCGGCCACTGCACTTTTCCCAATAATGTTGCTAAACAAAGGCGAACCAGAATCACTGGCAGATTCAGGTGATGTAATATCAGAAGGCAAGCTTGAATCAAGGTGTACATCTGCGCTACTTAAACCAGATGTAAATTTATCCAGTGCCAGTTTTACCGTGTGCACTTCTTCTGAAAGTGAAAATGAAAGTGATGCAGAGTCTTCATCAGAGAACAACGATCACAATTGGTTGACTTGTGCTGGCGAATTATCATACGTGGTTGAAGATCTCAAGAGGGCATCAGAATTAGTGGATGAAGTAAAAAGTGATACTTGTCCTGCGATAGAAACTTTCTTGACCAATGCTGAGGAACTAACACAACGAATTTGTAAGAATTCCAATAAAATCAGGAAAATGAGCAGCGCTTTGTTGAAGGAAATGGAAGAAAAAAAGAGAGCTGCAGCGCCAAATGACGAAGAAATTGTCGTGTCAGTATCAAGCCATGATCCTGGTGAGAGATACAAAGTAAATTCACTCACTGAAAAGAAGTACATCATAAAATTGGGACCACACCAGCCTAAGTTATCTGTTTTCCCACAGCATGAAGATATCCCCCAACGTCAGCTAGATTAATGCATGGCTCCCATTCAAATATAGCCAAAAATACATTAAATTATATAAAAAAATCAGGTTAGTCTGTATGAATGTGGTCAAAGTTGGTATATGAGGACAATAGGATTTTACTTTTTTTCTATGCCTTTGTTGCCATGGCAACAGTCACGTGACCATTTCAATGGTCTCCGTCCAAATGACCAAAACAAGGCCGCTGCCGCTAGCGGATATTCACTCAGATATCCAATCAGCCCCTGTTCCTACACCGTTCAGAATTTTATATATTTTCGATAATATGCAACTGACACTATGCTCTGGTGTTAATAAGTGCACATTATTTTGAAACGAAGCCATCTCGGAGCAGGGGCTGATTCGTTTCGTAAACTGCGAGGTTTCCACTAAACAAAAGCGTTGTTAATGTACTAAATTGACTAAAAACCGCGGTCAGCGAAGCAAACGAGTTTTCTTCCACGCGATCACTTTAGTATCGCCGCCATCATTATGAGCCCGCGTTGGAAGTTTAGCGGATACACACATAAATATACAAAATTAACATTCCAATGATGTAAGACGATCACGCAACAACAGGAATCTCAAATCTTTACCGCTTCAAAAGCAATAATTTGGCTATCAGAACGAACATTATATAATAACTACAGTGAAACACGCAATTTGATTGGTCAATAGCCGTGCAGGATCAGGCTATCCTGCACGAGGAATTAAAATGCCTTCGCGGAATTTTCGCGGGATTCTCAAAATGTCATTGTTTCACTGTAGTTATTTTATAAAACACTTACCAAATGGTTTTCCAAGCAGGATAGCGTGATCCATGCACTTGGGATGTTGCTCGACTTTCGGAAAGCGTAAAATTACACTCGCCTGCGGCTCGAGTATTTTTACGCTTTCCGAAAGTCTCGCGACATCCCTCGTGCATGGATCACGCAATCCTGCACGAAAAACCATTCGGTATTCCTTTAATATTAGATTTATTACTGCCGACTTAAAACATAGATAATATTTATATTGTAAAGAGGGTGCGAAATTGTGATTAGATTGCTACTAAAGACATATACAACTATAAATATATAGACAAATTAGGGGCATATTGTGGTAACTAATTATATAAATCCTCTATTGCATAATTGTAGGTTATTTATCAAGCCGGAAAAAATATTACATGAGGAATGCACTATAAATCCAAACGAGATCAATAGAACCAAATATTTTCCCATTTCAAACATTCTTTGATATATATAGTTATTTAAAATTTGAATCAGCTTTGCACAACAATATTTCGTGTATTTATTCCAGATGATCTTGATACGCGGAAAAGTACTGGCACTAGTTGTCAAATAGAAATCCATTTTGTGATTAAAACAACTGAATATCTCCTGTAATATACTTTATTTCGATTCCATATTTTTGTCAGAGCTATTGTTCTAATAACCAAACATAATTACAAAATTTCAACTAGTTTCATAAAGAATAACGAAAGATATAATTGACTGAATACATCAAAATGGATTTCTATTCGGACAACCCTTTCTGAGCGCTGATTGGCTAAAATACGAACACGAGATCACCTGGTTAGTGAGACGCAAGTGAATTTACAAACGCTACAACTTTCTATTATCTACTGTTTGACAAGAGCCATTTGACAGTAATCCGCAAGGCGCATAACTCTAATCATAATAATAATAACATATTAAGTCGTTCGGATTTTGGCGCAAAATTTAAAATTGATTTGATATACAGGTACTCTGCAATGTATAAAGTATGGTCCTAAGTTTTAGTTTTGCCCACCCAAAAAAACATTTTGAAAGAAGAAATTTTGAGACTTTATTACGCCCACGAAATGACGAATAGTGTCAAAACACGCGCGCCTCCCGCGTGGTACATAAAGCTCAATACGTGGACGGAGCCATGCATTAATCTAGCTGAGGCCGGTACGAAAACAATGTCGGTTTTCTAGTATATGGTACGCATCATTTCCACATCTCGAGTACAGTATTTCAAAAGATGCGGCATTTTGCTACGTATGTTCATTATTTCCATCCGGACCTGGCAGGGAGCATGCCGATACAGCATGGTCTATAGATGGTATGCGACAATAGCCGAATTCATATTAGAGACGGGAAACTCGTCTTAGACGGGAAACTCGTCTAATATGAATCCGGGGGCAGACGAGTTTCCCGTCCGAACTTACCCGTCTAACTTACCCGTCTAAACAGACGGGAAAGTTAGACGGGAATCTGATCTAGACGGGAAACTCATCTTAAATTCGAATTTATCCGTCCCTAAATTCATATTCAGACGGGTTTTCACAGACGAGTTTCCCGTCTAAGACGAGTTTCCCGTCCCTAATATGAATTCGGCTATTGGCACAAAATGACCAGTCGAGGAACTAAGAAGAAAGGAAAACTTGCTGACCATTTTGGATCGAAAAGCCATAAGGCCGCATTAGCGGATTTCTATGCTTTTAGTCAAGAGTCGTTAAATGTAGACTTACTCCTTGATAAAGAAAAACGTTCCAACATTATTCAAGCGGAAAAGGACAAGTTGACAAACAAAGACGCTGTGTTTATTCTGCTTGACGTTGTACGCACTCTGGCCCGACAAGGGATAGCTTTCAGAGGTAGATCAACGAATTCAACGCACAAGCAGGATGAAGAAGATGGCAATTTTAACCAGATTGTCGAACTTCTATCTAGGCATTGTCCAAGCCTCAATAGATGGCTCAATGAGGTTCGTTTGCGACCATATCATGTTACATACATGAGCCACGACTCGCAAAACGAAATGATTGATATTTTGGCAGAGAATATTCGGGACAAGGTGAAAGAAGAAGTAAGCGATTCAAAGATGTTTTCCGTTATGGCGGATACTACCCCTGACACTTCAAACAAGGATCGCCTTGCTGTTGATGTCCGATATGTTAAGGAGGATAGTCCATCTTTTGCAGTTAAAGAACGACTTATTGAAGTTAAAGAAAGGACCGATAAAACAGGCGATGGACAAGCCAGTGATATCCTTACGTCATTAGAAGATAGTGGTTTGAAGTCCTCTGAACTGGTTTTCCAGTCCTATGATTTCGCTTCAAATATGTCTGGAATACACAATGGTGCGCAGGCAGAAATTGAAAAGAAATTGGATAGAAAAGTTCCATACATTCCTTGCCAGGCTCATAGATGGAATACTTTGGTTGAGCACGGATGTGAAAGTAGACATATCATCCAGGAACTGTTCAACATCCTACAGGAGCTCTATGTTTTTTTCTTAGGAAGCACAAAGCGTCACGCTGTCATAGCTAAGCACCTGGAACAAGTTGAAAACTGTCTTCAGCTAAGAAATCTCGGACAAGGTGGATGGCAAGGGCAGAATCCATCAAAGCTGTGTGGACATCTCTTGAAGCTATAGTTAAAGCCTTAGAGGAAGCTTTCGCAGCACCAAAATTGGATGCAAAAGTCAAAGCAACAATTTCTGGGTTGCTGAAGAACGTAAAAAGCTTTGATTTTACTGTCTCCTTAATGTTTGTGAAGAACATTATGTTCAAGACTAAGATCTTAAGCGAAATCCTCCAGCAAGAAGAACTTAACATTGTAAATGCTTTAGAGCTGACGAAAGCCACTCTAACATCTTTGGAAAGAATCAATAACGAAGAAACAGAGATGAATGATATGATAGAAGCAGCTGTGTTGTATGCGAAGACGTCATTCCAAATTGATGCCAAAGAAGAATTTACAAGAAGTCACCGCGTAAGGCGTATACCGAGGCGATACGACGAAAATCCCCAAGAAACCACAGCTTTCACCTTTTATCAATATTATAGAAAGGAGTTCAAGTGCGTTTTGGATGTCCTTATCTCGCAATTTAGGGACAAGATGCAGCCGACATTGGATGTTATCGCCCCTATAGCCCACGCTCTGCAGGTTCCTTTGCACGAGCCATCGCCTGAAATCATACAGAAACTCGCAGAAATGTTCCCCAATGATGTGGATGCTGACGTGTTAGAAGCTGAACTTGAAGTTTTCAAAAACATAGTCGACCACAAGGAAGAATTAAAGAACGGAAGCATGGACAACATCGTCCAATTTGCTTATGAGCAGAGAAAAACACTGCCATTAAGATGCAAGGCATATCAGTTAATGCTAACAGCTCCAATTTCAGTCGCTAAAGATGAGAGAACTTTCAGTCATCTGAAATTCGTGAAGAGTGTTTACCGCTCAACAATGGGGGACAAGAGGTTAGATAATTTGATGCTGTTAAATTGTGAAAAGGACCTGACAGATGGTTTAGACATGTACCAA